GTGATTGGATGTCCACATTCTAGCTTAGTTATTTGTGTAGGAAGGCTTCAAGTTATTTATAAGTTAGCTAGACATATCTTTCTTCGGTAGCCTACCTCAGAACGTGGTTAAAGATTTTATGCCGTATGTATTTATATCGGATCTATTCGCTACTTTAAGCGGTAGTGTCTGTTAGGATATTCATCCAATATCCTAAGAGAATTATCGGTTAGTTCCTATTGGTTAATTCCTACTGATCAATTTTATGGTCGTCCTAGATATCAATGTCACGTGCTCCAGTGTTGTTTCTTATTGGTTGTCTTGACTATCAGTGTCACTTCAAATGTTGCTTCCTATTGGTCGTCTTAACTGCCAGTGTAACAGACTTCGATGCTGTTTCCTATTCGACCTAAATGTTTAAACACGCATTATTTGTAACGTTTATGACTATGACCCGGTCGCGGATCCCTAGTCCGGGATCGTGATTCTCTTCTGAACTCGGACCTCGTACTTTCTGAATGTTTGTAGAATACACGTTCTACTTCATATCAAGTCTTCTTATTTTTACTCAATATGGGGGGTTGGGATAATCGGATTTGAGTAGCATGTCGTGTCGCCGGATCCTCGATCCTCGCTGTTGTTTTCCGACTAGGTAAACTCGTAATATTTCAAGTATATCAAGTTGACGTGTTCACGTGCAGGCATAACGGTGTCGTATTAATATTTCGTCGTTCATTGCTCATGGGAGGCGCAACGGTAATTTTTACTCCTGTGTCTACTAAGAAGTGAGCACCCGTCGTTCGGTCATGGATGTAAAATAAACGACTGTTTTTAGGATCCACGCCAGCTGTCGCAGTCGTTGCCAACAACTGGCGGGATCGTCTGCCTATTGTATGAACCTAAATGTGCTCGGTGGCCTTACGTCTGGTGATACCAGCATATCGTAGAAGCTAAGCGTCTCCTAAATTGTGATCGATACCTTTCATGAGACCTACTTCGTGACCGTCTTTTCAGCCCTAAGTTCTGATTCAGCCTATTCAGCTTTTAGGATCAATTGCTGATCTCTTTTATTAACTCTTCAATTTCATAATTTAATAAAGAGTGATGCATCTGTGGACTCGGCATTTTCGTTCTTTCATAAACTCTATTGGCTATTTCTGCGATGTGAACTATGTCCACATCTCTATCCCCAAATGCAAGGATCTACTGAACATTCTGGGGTAGTCCCCGGAGCCATTACTGATAAAATATACTACTATCTACCTTCCTGTCTCTAAATGAACTTTAGTTCTTTAGCTGTGATGGAGTCCTGTCAACTAGTTCCACTTGGTTAAGAAGTTAGTTAACGAGACGGCATTTATTACGACCTGTTTTTTAACACATCATATGGCTTTTCAGCATCCAGTTTAGTTAAAACCTCTCGTACATTATATGCTACTTCTTTCGGAAGCAATGAGTATGCGTAGCTGAATTTGTCTCGTTTTAAATGAATCTGGCTGGCTAGAAAGTAAATTTCAAGTCTAATAAACCAAAGTTGTGGGTCGATGACCCTAAAAGGAGCAATAGATAGATTAAAGGACCTCATGGTTGTCACTTGTGGAAGACTTAGTGTATCGTTATCTGAAGACATATTTACATACAATGAGTAATGCACAATTAAGTTAACTTGCATATAAAGGAAAGAAATTAGATAGACAGTGATAATGCTAATAACAAATGTTAAAATGTTATAACACCGAACAGACAGACATCTACAACGCAGAACTTCGTACGTAAGTACATCAGTTCAGGTCGCCGTGCCCCGTCAGCACAGAGACGCAACTGTCAGTTCAAATCCAAGATTGATAGCGATAGTAGAAGTACTAGCAGTAATGGAGAAGATTAGGGAGAGAAGATATGATTCGAGAAGTATAATTCAGAGAGATAAATTTAGACGGAGAAAGATAGAGATTATGAGGAATTCAGAAGGTTAGAATTCGAGAGAACACAAAGAGTAGATTCACCTGAGCCATGTCATTCAAGGTCTCTAATTATTGGTGCCTTTCGTCTCACGGACCTCAACCAGATACCCTACATCTACCAACATGACTCAGTCCACTTGTCAGTGACTTCATGCATTTCTGCCATGTTTAGGTCTGGCCGCCCCTAACTTTCTTCCAACCTACTCCTACATTACAAAACATCACTCATCGAGGCAGTCGGTGGTTGGGCATTCGTAACACATGTCCCAACCACCTCAAATGAGGAAGTTTCAATATTTCATCTATTGATCTGCCATCCCTACCTAGAACTCGTTTCCAGGATACACGAGCAATGCTTCGGAGACATCGATGATCGAAGACCAGTAACCTACGAAAGTCCTCTACTCTTAACGGTCAAGTCTCACATCCGTATAGTAGGACGGAGCGAACTACTGCACAGTACACTCGTCCTTTGGTTAGCGAGCGGCTATCCTGCCTGCGCCATAGGTGATGTTGGTTGGCAAAAGCTATCCGAGCCTTCTGTATCCGTGTTGAGATCTCGTCAGTCACCAGGCCATCAGCACTGACGAGACTCCCGAGATACGTGAAGCGGTCTACACGTTCAACTACTTCACTCCCTATCACTAGTTCAGGTGCCGATGCAACCCAATCTTGAAGCAACATTTTGCATTTCGATGGGGAGAACCGCATCCCGAACGTCATTGCATTTTTGCTTATGGTAGTCAGAAGACTCTGCTTTTTGTCGGCGTCTTCACCGAATAGACCTATATCATCGGCTATAACACGGAACAGACTTACTAAACCACAACATTATAACAATTGTATGTATAACGTCGTTACTTGTGATTGATAATGTTGTCAAAGTATTTTCAAAAATGTTTGTGAAATAATTAGCGTGTAATGAAAGTACAATAATAGTAATAATGATAATCCACAGTTATATTACGTATCAGAATGGATTAAATTGACTCTCAGAAAGCTGAGTTGAGTTGATTGATCAGACGGTCAGTAATTCTGTGGTTACGTTTGATTCGTCGCCGGACTCACTAATTATGTGCTACGTCAAATAAATGGATTCACCAATTGGTATTCCTCTTTTCATGATATCGACCTCACGGTTGATAACCGTTGTCTAGACGAACAGCATACAAAATCTAAGAGAACAACACATAGACTAACAGCCGCCAGGCAAACTAATCAGTCACTGGCCAGGAACCATATTTTCATAGTTAGTTATAAGTCAAATTGTTCATTTTTAAGAGTTCACTGTACTTTTTCTAAACTGTTTGTGTAGATTAGAACAAGGTTTAATTACATAAATCAATCAATAAAGATAAGAAATATTTTTACATTGAACAAGGTTGCTACTACTACTAACTAATACCTACTATTCTCATTCATCAACTCGTGATAAAAAAAATGATTTTTTCTTTCCAAAGAAATCGATTTTCACTTTATTATTCTTATCGAAATCCTTGTGTCTATCTATCCAGTCGTCTATCTTTATCATTCCTTGAATTGTACGTGTGTGTGTGCGTGTGTTGTCTTGTTAAGGGCAAGAAGAAAACATATGAAGCACATTACGGGGTTGTGAAGATTGTTACATTTTACACATTTTGAAACCATGAATCGATCAATGTTAGACCACCATTAGAAACCTGGAAGCACTGGAGGGTTGTCTCATCCTAGAGTAGGATTCGCCTAGATAGTGTACACCCACGACATCCGCATGCGAAAATAAAAACCCAGGAACCTCGGTCATGCGTGCGAGTGCTCAAACTCTATACTACAAAGCCCCAGCATCAAACGGTGTTAGTATCTAAAACTTCAACGAATCCATGATGTTGAGCATGCACGACTTCTGCAACTCACAGGATCCAAACCCAGCAAATTCGGTCCTGCGCGCGCGAACGCTCACTAAGGACTACTTTCGTGAAGAAATTCTCAGAATTCCAGTGTGAAGCCATAACCAGTGGAGTTCAAACTTGTCTAATGTAGGCAGTAACTACTGAAGACAAAAAGGTGAGGGGATTGCGCAAAATTCCTAGATTAATCAAGGTTAAGTATTAACAACGTTGGATGCTGGCCCAGTAGTTCACAGACTGGGCCTTCGAATCCTGCAAGTAGTAACAGGAGTCTTGGATGCGCACTGCCACTAAACACGGCCATCTTTCCATGCTTCCACGTTTCTAATGAGCACTGTTACGATATTTTGGGGCAGATTTTTGGAAGTTTGCGTCTTTACACATTTGAAATCATCAATCAATGATTGTTAGAAACCTGGAAGCACTGGACGGCCGTTTCGTCCTGGTATGGGACTTATCAGCAGTGCGCATCCATGACTCCTTCTCCTCGCAGGATTCGAACCCGGGACCTTCGGCATTGTAGGTGAACGCCTTACCATCGGACCACTGGTTATTCTTATCGAAATCCTTGTGTCTGCACAGTCTATCTTTATCATTCCCTGAATTGTATGTGTGTGTGTGCGTGTGTTGTTTTGTTAATGGCAAGAAGAAAACCATTTTAATTTGCCAATTATTTTCGGCAAACATATTCAGCACATTACGGGGTTGTGAAGATTGTTACGTTTTACACATTTTAAAACCATGAATCGATCAATGTTAGACCTGTTCGTTTGTAGACAGTATATGTGAGGTTGCACAACTCCGTGAATTAATCGAAATTACACATTACTACCGTTGGGCGCTGGCTAACTCACTAGTCCAGAAGTTAGCTGTTTGCTCACAAGACCGAAGGTCCTAGGTTCGAATCCTGTGAGGTGCAGGAGTCGTCGTGGATGCACACTGCCACTAGGACTAAACACGGCCATCTTTCAATGCTTCCACATTTCTAATGATACTGATCACACATTGAATCGATTCATGATGGTTTCAAAAATGTGTAACATCCATCCATTCACTCATTAAGTGATTGATCGATTAAATAATCAATTAATTTGATTTGATTTTGAATTCTTTTGCTCATAGTATTTTCCATTTTTTTCTTCATTTTTAAATTACCCAAAACTGTTGATTACAGCTCAAATTTACTCCAATTTTTCCAGCCGTCTACTTTTATGCGGAGCTATAAGCTACCGCTTGAACAATCATCAATTGCAGTGTAATAAACGGTGAATGTTTATCCAATTAGTACTAATAATAATAATCATAATTATAATAATCGTGATAATTAACCAACTCACTATTTTGCAGTATCACTACTAATAATCTGCGATTAATTAATTGTGTGATAATTTAAATTGATTGCGTGTGTTTGTTTCTGTTTCTGTCTGCTTCTACCCCAATCTCATCCATCATGTAATTTTGTTGGTGATTTGATCATTTTTTATACCATGGTGTTGTAATATGAAGTGTAGAGTGAGAGAGAGATAGAGATTAAAAATTAACCTTTTATTTTGTTTGGATATGTGTTAATCAAATTCTTACATTAGAGAGTTATAATATAGATTGTTGTTTTTGTAATCAGTAGTGTAAGACAACAACAACATCATTAGAAACCTAGAAGCACTGGATGGCTATGTGGTCGCAATATGGGACTATAGTGCGCATCCACGACTCCTTCCTTCCAGACCAGCGGGCAAGAACAATGACCGAAGTGGTAATCCGGTATATTGTAGCGTGTCACGGAATACCGAAAATGATATTAACTGACCAGGGTGCCTGTTTTGAAAGACTACGACGACAGCTTATTAAAAAAAGGGGGGACGATTGTGGTGCGAGCTACTTATAAGTAGTATATGACGTGAGTGTCAACGTAATGTCTGGCAGCGGAAGACGGGGGAAGATCAAGAAAGGAAGAGTGGGAACACAATGGGATTTGGATGAAACGCATGAATAGTGACAATGGATTGATGTTGTTTGCAACAGGAACAGTCCAGTTCGATATGATGGATGGATATTTTGCAAATTAACGATTTACGATATGGTTTTCCCATTTTACCATTTAACTCTGTAACTTGAGATAAATACGATTCGGTTGGCCTCACCTGTATTCTCCTTCGTTCCTCCTCCTTGGCCGTAATCCAACGGTGGTAATGACCGACTCTGATCACTCTAGGGATTTCGCGCAATCTGACTCAATAGTCTACACCAGACAGAATTGAACTCCACTGGTCATGTCTTCTCACTAGAACTCTGTGAATTTCCTTGTGAAGCTAATCACTATATTGGGCATTCTGAGTCCAATACCAGAAAGAAACGGTCGTCTTCCAGTGCTGCTAGGTTTCTAATACTGTATAGTCTAACAATGATTAATTCATGATTTCAGTAACAAATAACCTTTTGGCATTATTAACTAACATTCTTTTTTTGAAGTTTGAAGTTTGATTTATGGGTTCTGTTTTTTGTAATTGTATTGAATATGTGCAACAATCAACTAAACGACGTGTTGTTACGCTTGCTTATATGATTCCCAGCTAAATCGTATTGCTTAGTATTCTCTGACCACAATACACTGGACAAGTTCCCGGTTGAACAGGAAAAGATTATATTCCAAACAGCAAGGTTAAATGGAAATAAGAAGCCGAAGGCGAAGGCAAAATAGATACAACGTTAGTTTCTTTATAGCATTTATATGAGAAGCATCTGGATAGTAATTCACGTGATCGATTGGATTAGATTTAACCAATCAGCATACAGCTAACAATACGAGAATCTTCTACCCTGTTCTTCAAGATTCGGTCAGGCGCTGATTGGGTAGGAAATTAGCCAATCAGCGCGCAGCAACGTAGTCATGCTTTAATTCCATCTATGTCCCACTAACACGACGAAATTAACATTTTCTTCGCAGATTTCCTTTTTTTAAAACTTTTATTCAATGGAAAAAATGAGTAAAAGATAATAAAAATACGACAGAAATGAAGTAGGCAATAAAATGATGACAATTTGATGAAACTTTTATTTTTATCGATGAGTTATTTTAGTGCCGTGTTCATGTTATCTTTCTCTATATTTTTAAATTTATTTCACCGAATTATAATTTTTGAATAATATCTTGAAGTCCTAATCTCTCGGATTATCGTTAATACTTCTACTATCTCTAGCACTATGGGATTGTGTTAAGGTTGTCACTAGGTCGTCACCTTAGTCGATAAACGAAAACGAGACAATGAACCAGCGTCCAGATACGCTAACTGACCAGATGACTAACGAAAAGTCTTGATAAGCGTAGAAAGTATATTCTACAAGTACCCAGCAAGCATACAGTGTAACCAAGCACACATATGGCGTCCTTGGGACAGTCACAAAAAGTAGCACACTAAAATACACAGTAGCCAATCACAACCAGGGATTTTCTTGGTGGGAAATGCGATCTCAAGGTCAACTGTTCAGCCAGTGCTCAGAAATACAAAATCCAAAATTAGGGCATTTATCAAGCGAGTTTTGGCGATCTAACATCCCCAACAGATCCGAACTAGCAATTGCGTCTCTGTGCTAATGTGATATGGCAACCTGAACTCATTTACTTACTTACGAAGTTCTACGTTGTAAATAACTGACTGACTGAGTGAGTTATGTTCATGTACATCTGAAGATGAACTTAATAACTGATACGTAAGAATTACAAGGAATGTGTTGGGGACGTTAGTTCTCCATAACTCGCTTGATGAATGCCTTAATTTTGGATTTTATGTTTGCGAGCATGAGCTGATAAATTGACCTTGAGATTTCATTTCCTACCAGGAAAATCCATGGCTGTGATTGGTTGCTGTGTATTTTAGTGTGCTACTTTTCGTGACTCTCCCAAGGACTTTTCTATGATGTATAATTAAACGAGATTTGTGTGCTTGATTGCATTGTGTGCTTGCTGGTTGTTTGTAGAATATACTTTCTACGCTTATCAAGACTTCTCCTTAGCCGTTTCGGTTCATTGTCTCGTTCGCGTTTATCGACTAAGATGAGCCCGTAATAGTTTCAAGCATACTTAGTGACGAACCTAACAGAATACTAATATTATGAAGAAAAATGAAGAATTGATTATGTGATGTTTGCACACACAAAAAGGATCAAGTTTGAATTAGGGAATTGTACAGTAGATGTAGCACAGCACAAATTGATCGTTGATAGTGCTCAGATATATACGACAGTTGACAATTCCAAATCGTGTACTATCATTATAATCTGACTGATAAGACCAAGGTCAACTAACAGACCCATATTCACATGTTGAGTAGTGAGCAGTGTGGATGTGTTAGGCATAGGGTAATAGGTCATATTGAGAAATGTGCTAAATAAGTATGCCTGACTATTGCCTACTCTGACGAGGTTAGACGCACTCTATCAGTAGTCAAAACAAAACATAACATCAGTGCCTATGAATTTTATTGAATGTTGTTTTCGAGTCAGATCGATAGATAGAGGCTACTTGGTTATGGACTTCGCAGATGACCTGGCTCTTCTATCGCACAGACAACAACTAATGCAAGAGAAGACGACCAGTGTAGCAGCAGTAGGTCTCAACATACATAAATGAAAAAGCGAAATTCTCCGATGCAACACAACATGCACCAACCAAATCACTCTTGATGGAGATGCCTTGGAGGACGTTAACACCTTTACATATCTTGGCAGCATCATCGACACTCAAGGTGGATCCGATGCAGATGTGAGGGCACGGATTCGGCAAAGCAAGGGTTGCATTTCTACAACTGAAAAATATCTGGAACTCCAAACAACTTTCAACCAAAACCAAAATCAGGATTTTCAATACAAATGTCAAGACAGTTCTACTGTATGGAGCAGAAACTTGGAGAACCGCAAACGTCATCATCCATAAGATACAAGTGTTTATACACAGTTGTCAACGCAAAATACTTCGCATTCATTGGCCAGACACCATATCAGCAACAACGAACTGTGGGAAAGAACGAACCAGATTCCAGTGGAGGAGGAAATGAGGAAGAAGCGGTGGAAGTGGATAGGACACACATTGCGGAAAGCACCCAACTGCGTCACGAGACATGCCCTCACATGGAACCCTCAAGGCAAAAGGAAAAGAGGAAGGCCAAAGAACATATTATGCCGAGAAATAGAGAAAGATATGAGAAGAATGAACAAACATTGGACAGAACTGGAGAGGGAAGCCCAGGACAGAGTTGGTTGGAGAAAACAGGTGGGCGGGCTATGCTCGATTGGGGGTAACAGGCGTAAGTAAGTAAGTAAGTACTTGGTTATGTAGTCCAGCTGGTCAGTAGCTGGAGATTGAAACCAACATCGTTTGGAATCATATACAATGACTCTTCATCATCACTTTCAATATTTCTTAATATTGTATACGTTTTCCCTTTTGACATTTCAAATTCTTTCCGCTTCCTTCGTTTTCGTTAAATATAAACTGTTTCAATCTATTTTGATATGACAGCTTGCGCTAATAACTCATATCAATTTCACACTGTATGTAAATATGTAATATAACTGATTAGCAATACGTTTATGCATGCATGGATTAAAAAAAATATTAAAAAATTACTTACCAACACCAGACAGATCATCATTATGCATTTTTATCGATCCGATTATTTTTATTATTAGCAGTTTTAATGTTTGTTTACCATGATTCTGAAGTGATTTCTGTATTGCGTAATCCAATTTTGCGTTCAGCTGCTTTCTAAAATGCAAAAAACAAACAAAAAGCTTATTAGAATTCGTTTTTCTAATCATGACTTTGGTAAAAATGCTTTTGTTTTCAATGTTAAATCAGTAGTATTAGTAGTAGTATGATGATTTGTCTTTCTTGTCTCTTTCTTTTTTTGTTGTTGTTGTTGTACCTCATTTAAAAATCAATAGGAATTCTGTTCGACTAGCTATACGTAAATTGACTTATGCACCAGAGGAACCAGCTCCACAACCTTCGGCAGTTGTATTGAAAGAATTCATTATGAGTCCTGGTACACTGCGTTTGGAAGTTTCATTAAATAAAGAAGTAAGTAAGCACATTACTTTCCTTTTTTTTTTTCAGTTTGAGCTTTGGAGATTTGTGTTTTCTTTTTTCTACACATTTGAAATCAATCAATTAATTGTTAGACCAGCGCCATTAGAAATCTGAAAGCACTGAAAGACGGCCGTCTCGTCCTGGTATGGGACTACTTATCAGTGGCAGTGCGCATCCACGACTTCTGCATCCCGCGGGATTCGAACTCGAGACCTTCGGTATTGTGCGCGAATGCCTAACCATCGGACCACTGGGCCGGCATCTGACGGTGTTAATGTCTAACTCTGATTGATCTAGGGATTTTGCGCCACCTCACCCATTTGTCTTTGGTAGTTACTGCCTGCACCTGACAGGGTTGAACTCCACCGGTCATAGCCTCTCACTAGAATTCTGAGAATTTCTTTACGAAAGTAGTCCTTAGTGAGCGTTCGCGCGCGCAGGACCGAAGTTGCTGGGTTTGGATCCTGTGAGTTGCAGAAGTCGTGCATGCTCAACACCACGGATTCGTTGAAGTTTTAGATACTAACACCGTTTGATGCTGGCTTTGTAGTATAGAGTTTGAGCACTCACACGCATGACCGAGGTTCCTGGGTTTGATTTTCGCATGCGGATGTCGTGGGTGCACACTATCTAGGAGAATCCTATTCTAGGATGAGACAACTGTCCAGTGCTCCTAGATTCCTAATTGTGGTCTTACCTACGTCAGTTGGTCATTTCAACTATGAAAATATTTTGAATTCGGTGACCTTTATTTTAATATAAAGTCATATGATTCGGGTTTTATCATTTTCTGACAGTATGTGGATATACAAAGTAAAATTGATTTTATTTGGGGCAGGGGGGTCATCCTTAAGTATAAGACTTAAACATATATACAGTCAGTCAGCCAGTCAGTTATAACGTAGAACTTCGTACATACATACGTACATCAGTTGAAGTTGTCATACCACATTAGCACACAGAGAGGTTAGTGTATGAATTGTTTTGATCAGAATTATGTTTTAGACTTGGTCTGTATTAGTTTGAAGTTAGTGTTTTTCAAATGAGCCTTAAAAACAATTTGTTCGCGATCTGGCAACTTCTACTATTTGCACAACTGCAGCATTGCAGAAACATACACGCAAAACATAAACGTGATGGTTAAAAAAGAGGTGACTTTAAAATACACGGTTGTATGAAAACAGTTTGTTTTGTAGTGCACATATATTCCAGTTCGCTTACATCTAACTTGGTTAAGCCCTTTCGATTAATTTTTATTTAACCAAGCCATTTGTATTGCAACGATTTATATGTACCATTCGTTCTTGTCTGGTTTGTATGAGCTCACATGACATGTACCACTTGTTATTTGACCTTGTCAACCACTGGTCGCTTTTATCCATGTGTACCTATTTCGCTTGTCGCATGTCTGTCTTATATTTGTCTGACTATATTTTCTTAGTCATGCTCACTATCTCCAGGAATTGGCTCATTAGCCTTCTCCAACGTGCTTCCCCCTGATCATTCGCTTCCTTCGCCCATTTGTTTGCATTGTAATCCTGGGAGTTGGCTCATTGGCCTTCTCCATATTGATTCTCCGCTTCGCTTTGTTGTGTGTCCCAAATAAACGTATTCAACACTACGAGTTCACCTTCTGATTTATATATAAACCGTCAGACGCCATTTAGTAACGATTGTCTAGACGAGCTAATTAATTACCGGGCTTAATTAAGAACACGCAGTAAATTGGCACACCACAAATGGTGAGCCTGACGTCGGCCACCACAGTTGTTTAACCAGGGTTTAGTAGACACATTTTATGTGTTCAATGACTGTTATACATTCGTTTACTGTAAGAATATTAGCGATATATCGTGATGTGTGTTGTACTTAATTTATTTACGTGAGTTACTCAATTAAGAATGTATCCATTTTGAAATGGAGTGTTTATTACCTCTGTCTTATCCAACAATAATATTCGTGCATTTAAGTTGTAATTTGAAATTCAATCAACCAATCAGTAGATGATAGTTTTATTTCTCAAGTTTAATCAGTTAGAAAAAAATACAAAATGAAATTTTTTAAAAATTGTTCACTGATTACGTGACTAGACTGAATTTCATTATAAAAACGTTTTATGACTGAAAATTTACGCGCTTCAATTCTAAGAATCGAGATCTGTTGGTAATGTGGATTGTAAGCTTTTTTTGGCACTACTTTTTACTAAGATCATAAATAGATCATAGTTACATGTAAAATCAAAATCAAATTGAACAGCTGTTTCGCTCCGGCAGAGTACGCCTTTTAACCCAACCACTAGTTGAACACATAATGGTTGGTGTTGTTCGCAATTAGGCTCATTTTCAGATCATTGTGTCAGTATTCATTCACGATATATATTATACAAGAGACTTCTATTGAAATCGTAAATCAATCATTGTTAGACCAAACTCGGAAGCACTAAGAGATGACCGTTTTTTCCTCTGGTATGGGACTCCTCACCTGTGGCAATGCGCATTTACGACTCCTGCTACTACTCGCAGGATGTCGACTTTCTCCATTCTTGTTTAGTTTTATCATAGACATGCTCCTAGAAATAACCTTATCCTCATCTGAATTTTCAGGAGTAGACTTTTTACCTGCTGGCTCGGTTATTGACTTAGAATATGCTGATGACATAGTCCTACTTGGTGAAGACGCTGACAAAATGCAGTCTTTTGACTACCCTAAGCAACAATGCAAGCATGTTCAGAATGCGATTCTCCCCGTCGAAATGCAAAATGTTGCTTCATGACTGGGTTGCATCGGTACCTAAACTAGTGATAGGAAGTGAAGTAGGCGAACGTGTAGACCGCTTCACTTATTTGGGGAGTCTGGTCAGTGCTGATGGCCTGGTGACTGACGAAATCTCAGCTCGGATACAGAAGGCTCAATTGGCTTTTGCCAACCTGCGTCACTTATGGCGTAGGCGAGATATTCGTTTGCTGACTAAAGGACGAGTGTACTGTGCAGTGGTTCGATCCGTCTTACTTTATGGCTGTGAAACATGGCCAGTCAAAGTAGAAGATATTCGTAAGTTTCTGGTTTCTGATCATAGGTGTCTCCGAATCATTGCTCGTGTATCCTGGGACAACCAAGTGAGCAACGCTGTTATCAGGAATCGGTGCCAGGTAAGAATGGCAGATCAATAGATGAAGTATTGAAACTTCATCAGTTGAGATGGTTGGGACATGTGCTGCGTATGCCTAACCACCGACTGCCTCGACGAGCTAATGAGTAGTATTTGTAAGTAGTATGCACTCAAGACGCTGTCTTTCACACTCATTATAGCTATATGTATTTGTATATATTGATCTGTCGTTTTCATCCACTTACTTGTTTCGCTTCATTTCACTCCATGTTCATTTCCATGATCCGTTGAATGACAAAAAAAATACTACTACAACACCAACTCCACTAAAAATTAGAAATATTATCATGGTGAATCAATCGATATCAATGTTTTGGTTGATAATAATTCAAATAAAACAGTGAAAAAAATTAAATTATCAGGTAAGTAAGTAAATATATTTTCACATAGACTACAACACGTATTTTACATATATTAACTAGTTTTGATTTTTTTATAGATTTGTGAATCTTGCGAATCTTTATTGTCGGACATCAGTATTATTGATTATTAATGATGTATATACATTGTATGGTGAGATTGAGATGATGGAGAGAATTTGTAGCTCATACAGGGGATGATTGTGTTACGAATGCCTAACCACCGACTGCCTCGACGAGCTATGTTTTGTGGTGTAGGAGTAGGTTGGAAGAAAGCTAGGGGCGGCCAAACCAAAACATGGCACAAATCCATGAAGTCACTGACAAGTGGACTGAGTCATGTTTGTAGATGTAGGCTGCTACCTGGTTGGGGTCCGCGAGACGATAGTCACCAATGGTTAGAGACCTTGAATAATGACATGGCTCAGAATCGTTTGCAATGGCGCAAGTGCATCCATTTGTTGAGCTCTCTCAATTTCTAATCTTTTGGATTCGTCAGTACCTCTACCTTTGTCTTTCTAACCTTATCTCACTGAATTATACTTTTTGAATAATATCTTAAACCTTAGTCTTCTTTAATACCATTAATACCTCTACTATCTTTATCACTATGGGATTGGATTTGATATGTGCGTCTCTCTGTGCTAATGTGATAGGGCAACAAGAACTTATGTACATATGTACGAAGTTCTACGTTGCAACTGACTGACCGACTGACGGGATGATTGTGGTGAGGAGTTTCATTCTTTGAGCTCGAGGTTTTGGTAGTTGTGGAGCTTTCAGTTGTTTTTCTTCTGAACAATAAACATCATCAGTTCGTCAATTAATATGCTTGAATGCTATTACGAGTTCACTATACTCGGTAATGAGAGAGAGAAGATCAATGATCCAGTGACATGATAGGCTATTCGAATTCGTTTATCTCTTGCAGTGGCTTATTGTATCAAAAAGTCTTGATAAGGAGTAGAGAGTGTATTAATTATTTTACAAGCACCTAGAAAATCGAGTTTATTTATACATGATAGAACCGCCCTTGAGTAGAGCCGAAAAATAGCTTACTAAAATAATCCACCAACCAATGACACTCAGGGATTATCCGAGTGGGAATTGTAAGCCGAAGGTCCACTAAGCGACTTATCCGCGAAAACATAAAAAATCCAAATTAGGACCCTCTCCAAGTGAATTCTGGGGATCAAACGTCCCCGACAGGTTTTGGTTGTGGAGCTTTCACTGTTCTCTTCTGAACAGCAAACATCATCGGTAGCACAGACTTCAGGCCAAGAAGTGAAGTATTCGAATCACTTCACGTTTTCGAGCTTAACAGAACAAGTTACACGTCCTGCTATGTGGAGAAATTCGAATACTTCATTTCATCACCTGCCTATGATGTTTGTTCTTCGAAAGTAAACAATGAAATTCTGCACAACCAAACTGCCCAGCTCAAATATAAGTGAACAATATTACTGTTTTCGATTAGATCGTCATCAGGCTGCTTTACTCTCTCTAATATACATGAATATTTACATATGAAAATGTTAAACCAACCAATCAAGGCAATTTCTGAGTCAATAATCACAATGAAATGAAATAGAGATTACGTCACTTGACACACACTACTAGGTGGAAAAGTACAAGTTGATAAGTAGGAAGACGACAGGTGTACTGTGATAGTAGTTAGAAAATTATAAAATACGATAACAAAAGTTTTTGTCAATATTAGGTCATACGTCGTGGATAAATAGACTTGAAATCATAATCATTACAAAACATTAAAACCATTACGTAATAAGAAGTGTGTATCTACGTGGATAGTGAAGAATATAAACGGAAAGAGGCAGAGAATTACTAACAAATACAGGAATTTTTTTGAATTAGAGTTACGGAGATGAGTGTTTCTTTGTACACATTTGAAATCATCAATCGATCATTGTTAGACCACCATTAGAAACCTGGAAGCACTGGACGGCCGTTTCTTCCTGGTATGACACTCATCAGTGGCAGTGCGCATCGACGACTCCTGCATCTCGTAAGATTCGAACCCGGGGTGAAACGGCCGTCTTTCAGTGCTTCCAGGTTTCTAATGGTGGTCTAACAATCATTGGTTGATGATTTGAAATTTGTAAAAACAACACTAGTCTCCGTAACTCTAATTGAAAATATCGTAAAATGTGCTCACTAGTGACTAGCTTCGTGAGGAAATTCTCGGAGTTCTTCTCGTGAGAAGACGTGACCAATGGAGTTCAACCCTGTCGGGTGTAGGCAGTAACTACCGAAGACAAATGGATGAGGTCGCTCTAAATCCCTAGATCAATCAGAGTTACACATTAAAACCTTTGGATGCCGGCCCATTGATCAGGAGGTTAGGCATTCGTGCACAGTACCGAAAGTCCCGGGTTTGAATCCTGCTGGTAACAAGAGTTTTGGATGCGCACTGCCACTGATAAGTAGTCCCATACCAGGACGAAACGGCCATCTTTCAATGCTTCCAGGTTTCTAATAGTATGGGTCTAACAATGATTGATTGATGATTTCAAATGTTTTTCAAAAAAATATACAGGATTATTGACTCATAAATTGCCTTGATTGGTTGGTTAAACATTTTCATATACACATATTCATGTAATTTAGAGAGTAAAACCTGTTGACTGACGATCTAATCGTAAACAGAATTATTGTTCGCATATATCTGTATATATTTTTTTAAAAATTGTATTTACGTAATCACATTAGTTTGAAATTCGGACATTCTATTTGAAAATCTTGTCCGGTTATTGAATGAATTTTCAAACTGATTTTTCCACATACTACCACATAGTGTGTGTATAGATATTTTTCTAATGAAAATTGTTTATGAACAGTGTGTGACAATCGGAATATGAATATATGTATATTGATAATTTTTGGTTAGACAAAATGTCTAGCTTAGTTATGACGTCATCATGTGAAAAAAAATACCATAGTCGTCATCATAATACAATTCAAGTAAACTAACTAACTAACTTATTCAATAATGCTGAATCCCTATTTGCTGCATCCATATGATTTTGATTGTTCTGTGTATGTAGGTTGTGTTTGCGAGACGATTGGCTTTTTTTTCCCGCGACAACAACAACAACAACAACTTGCCAGTTTTGTCTTGTTTTGTTTTAACTCACTCGCTCACTCCCTCTGTCCCACGCTCCTGCCTCTTTCTTTATTGACACAAACAAATTAGCTTTCAATAAATAATGAAATATTGAAAAAAATATCTAGTGAATGTTGAACGGATTGGTCTGATTCAATTGTCAATAGATGAAATTCAAAAAAATTCAAAAGATTTTCTTCAAAATCAGTTGTTTTTTTTTGTTTTTTTTTGTTCTCCGAGTTTTGTGATTAGTGAAATTTTATCGAATGAGAAGTTTATTTCCACAAAACTTATTTGGAAAGGATCCTAATTTGGGATTTTTACGTGTTTTCGCGCATAAGTCGCTTAGTTGACCTTGAGATTATATTTATCACTTGGGAAAATCTTTGACTGTTATTGGTTGATGGATTATTTTAGTATGGTATTTTTGTGGCTCTTCCCAACGACGTTTCTATCATGTATATGGATAAACTCGATTTGCGAGTTTAGCAACTTTGTAATTTCTGAGTGATTGCCTAATCACCGACTGTCTCGACGAGCTTTGTTTAGTAGTGTAGGAATGAATAGGTTGGAAGAAAGTTAGGGGCGGCCAGACCAAAACATGGAAGAAATCCATGAAGTCATTGACGAGTGGACTTAGCCATGTCGGTAATTATCGACTACCTGTTTGGGATCCGTGAGATGATAATAATCGATGGTTAGAGACCTTGAATGACATGGCTCAAAGTCGTTCGCAATGGCGCCGGTGCATTTATTCTCTATGTTCTCTCAAATCCTAATCTTCTGGATTCTTCAACACCTTTATTTTTGACTTTCTAGACTTATCTCATTGAATCATACTTCTTGAATAATATCTTCTAATCCTAACCTCTCCAATTACTTCTAATACCTTTACTACCTCTTCTACTATTGGATTTGAATTGACAATTATATCTCTGTGCTGATGTTGTATGGCAACATGAACTGATGTAATTACGTACGTACGAAGTTCTACGTTGCATCAGGCTGACTGAGGATACATTCTCTACTCCTTATCAAGACTTCTTGATTTAGTTAGCCGTGGCTGAGGACAAACGGATTAGAATAGTTTATCGTATCACTGCCTCATTGATCTGCGCTCTGTTTACCGAGTAAGATGAACTCGTAATAGCATTCAAGCATATCAGTTTTACTTGTTTGTTTTCAATTAATTTTATGACATGCTGAGTAGGAATTTTGCAGAGTTAGTTTGACTATCATTCGGGATACTGTAAAGCTCAACGAATTCAGGATAGCCCTCACCAATAAGTTCCAGGCCTTACAGGATCTACACAATGGAGAGGACACAACATTGGAGAACAATTGGAAAGGGATTAAGGAGGCAATCACTTCAACATGTCAGGAGGTCCTTGGTCGCAAGAAGCAGCATCATAAGGAATGGATCTCTGTTGATACTCTCGCAAAAATTGAAGAAAGGAGGAACAGGAAGGCATCAATCAATGTCAGCCGAACAAGAGCGGAGAAAGTTACCGCACAAGCTGCATACACAGAAGCATGCAGACAAGTGAAGAAGAGCATCAGAGCTGACAAACGAAAATACGTGGAAGATCTAGCAATGACGGCGGAAAAGGCTGCAAGAGACGGAAACTTGAGACAATTGTATGAAACTACAAAGAAGCTCGCCGGGAACTATCGTAAACCAGAACGACCAGTGAAAAACAAGGAAGGCAAAGTAATCAGCAACACTGAAGAACAGCGAAATAGGTGGGTAGAGCACTTTAAGGAACTCCTAAATCGACCAGCTCCTCTGAAGACACCCAACATCGAAGCAGCATCCACGGACCTCCCAATTAATATTGGCGCACCTACAATTGAGGAGATCAGTATGGCCATCAGACAA